CACACATCAAGGTGATGAGTGAGTGGCTCACAAATAACAATAACACACGAAGCTAAAATCTTATTCCTTACGCAATGCACTAACTTAACCCTGGCTTCTCTAATCTTCAAAATAGGATTGTGAAGTCTTTATATAGTAACACTTTGAATGGGCTTGGGCTTTAGCAAAAACTACCTCTGATTTGATAAAATCAAATCAGATAATTCTTCAAATATTTTCATAATTAACATCAAGGAAATAGAACCAAAACAGATTTGATCAAATCAAATCAAATCACACTTCAAATCCTCTCAAGATTTTCTGCAACAAATAGAACAGAAGATTTCACAATTACTCCACGAAATATGCATCAGAAACTCTTTTGTATAAGGAATATTTCCACGCAGATTTGAACCACCAAAATCTCTTAGCACAACAGCGCAAAAGGTTGCACAAAAACACATATGTCAAAACATAACATTCATACTGAATATTCTGTTCACAAATGTCAGAACATCATACTTGACATCATGAACCAAATCCTGTAACATTAAGAATAACCACCTGTAGAATGTTAAGAACATATGTCACGACATCCTATAGGACATCTTGTGATATCAACAAGGTTTTCCAAAATTATTGCCAATCAAGAACTAACAACACATGAGATTGGGCCATGTCAGCGAAATAGGTCTGGTCGAATTGGAGAAGTAGAACCTTCTAGGTGGTGACAAAGTCAAAAAGTTGGAATTTTGTGAATCTTGTGTATTTGGTAAATCTTGTAGGGAGAAGTTTAAAAAAGGCAAGCAAATAACACATGGATACATGGATTACATTCATGCTGATCTTTGGGGGCCTGCAAAGAATCCTTCACACTCAGGTGCAAGGTATTTTCTATCCATCGTTGATGACTATTCCATAAAGCTATGGGTATTCATTCAGAAGACGAAGGATGAAAATTTTGAGAATTTCAAAATTTGTAAGGTTCTAGTCGAAACTAAAACTGACAGAAAGATTAAGAGGTTGAGAACCGATAATGGCCTTGAGTTTTGCAATGAAACGTTCGACAGTTACTGTGTTGAGTCTAGGATTGCAAGGTATAAGACTGTAGCAGGTACTCCTAAACAAAATGGATTAGCTGAAAGATTCAATCGAACAATCCTTGAAAGGGTTAGATGCATGTTGGTTAGTACTAGATTGAAGAAGGTGTTTTGGGCAAAGGCTGTTTTGACAGTAGCTTATCTGATAAATAGATTTCCCTCGACTGCCTTGGGAATGAAGACACCTGAAGAAGTTTGGTCGGGTCAACCACCGGATCTCGACAAACTGAGAGTATTTAGTGTTTAGCCTATACTCATATTAGGCAAGACAAGGTAGAACCTAAAGCTGTGAGATGCATGTCCCTTGGATATCCTAAGGGATTCAAGGGTTATAGGTTGTGGTGCCTAAAACCAAGTCACAAAAGATGTACCATAAGTCGTGATGTAGTTTTCAATGAAGTCGAGATGGCGTTCAAGAAAACTGGTGATGCTGGTTGAAGTGCAAAAATCTCTGAAGAGGATCTGGAACAGATAGAGATGCCTGTTGAGGTGGAGCATAGTGATGTTGGAGTACATAACCCAGATGAAGTTGAAGAAGAAGAGCAAGATGCTGAAGAGGTTGAGGAAACTGTTGATAACTACCTACTGGAAAGAGATAGGTCGAGAAGAGTCATCAAGCCACCTCAGAGACTTGGTTATGCAGATCTTATAACTTTTTCCTTAATCTCTGCAAGTGAGGTACTTGAGGAAGAACCTAGAGATTACAAGGAAGCTATAAGGAGTCGAAATAAGACTGAATGGAGAAAATCCATGGATGACGAGATGAAATCTCTTCATGATAATAATACATGGGATATGATTGAGAAACTTGCAGGAGCAAGGTTAGTCAGGTGTCAGTGGATTTTCAAGGTCAAGGAAGGAATCGAAGAAGCGATGTCAAAGTGTTTTAAGGCAAGGCTGGTTGCTAGGGGCTCACTCAGGTAGAAGGTGTCGACTTCAATGATATGTTCTCACCTGTTGTAAAGCATAGATCCATTAGAATGTTGTAGGCCATGGTGGTGAAGTTTGACTTGGAACATGAGAAAATGGATGTAAAGACATCATTTTTGTATGATGACCTAGACGAAACGATCCTAATGTGTCAACCTGAAGGGTATGCAGAAAATGATAAGGAAGATTATGTGTGTAAACTGAATAGGTCTTTGTATGGCCTGAAACAATCTCCTCGATAGTGGAACAAGAGATTTGACAAGTTCATGGCACACATTGGTTTCACTAGGAGCTAGTTCGACCACTGTGTTTACTTCAGATTTTGACCTAGAAATTCACTTGTCATTTTGTTGCCTTTTGTGGATGATATTCTCATAGGTAGCAATAGTGTCAAGGATGTAATGGAGGTGAAGGATGAACTCATCAAGGAGTTCAAAATGAAGGATCTGAGAGCTGCCACCAGGATTCTTGGGATTGACATCCGGAGAGATAGAAAGAATTCGAAGTTGAGCTTATCTCAAGAGACATACCTACTGAAGCTTTTCAACAAGTTTGGTATGTCGAATTCAAAGTCTGTTATGACTCCGTCAAATTCTCAGTTTAAGCTTAGTACTACTCAAAGTCTGAGAACTGAAGCTGAAAGAGTCTATATGACTAGTATTCCATATGCTAGTATAGTGGATTCTTTCATGTATGTTATGGTCTGTACGAGGCCAGACATAGTGTATGGAGTGAGCCTTGTGAGCAGGTATATGGTCAATCCTAGAAAGGCGCACTGGCATGCTTTAAGCTGGATTCTCAGGTACATTAATGGGTCTCTGTGTCGAGTACTGATTTATGGTGGATCTTGTGGTGGTGATAGCATAGTCGAAATCAAAGGACTTGTCGACTCTGATTATGTAGATTGTATAGATTCCAAAAAGTCTATTTTTGAATATGTTTTCACAATGTTTGGCACAACAATCAGTTGGAAAGCAACGCTTCATAAGGTTGTTACCTTATCAACCACTGAAGCATAATATATTGCCCTCACTGAAGCTATGAAAGAAGCATTGTGCCTTGAAGGTTTTGCAAAGGAGCTGGAACTTCAAGGTCGAGGTATCACTGTTAAATGTGATAGTCAAAGTACAATACACCCGTCGAAGAATTTAGCCTATCATGAGTGAACTAAGCACATCGATGTGAGGCTGCACTTCCTCAGAGAGATAATCGAGTGTGATGAAGTCCATGTGCTGAAGGTTTCGACTCATGACAATGCTGCTGATATGATCACCAAGACGTTGTCAAGTTACAAGTTTCTCCACTGTATACAGTTGATAAAGCTGCATGATGAAAGCTAATTTATTCCCTGTAGTTTGTTAAGTTAGATCCAAGGTAGAGATTTGTGAGATTTTGGGTCGAACTCAAGCTTTGTCGAGGAATAAGTTTCATGTATTTTTGACAGGAGACAAGCATGAAGTCGAAGCTGGGTCGCATGTCGTGGTCGAAGGATACATATTATAGTCGAAGTCTGTTCTAATATGTATTGTTGAAATGATTGTCGAACTTGGCCTTTTGTTATAGATCTAATTGTTTAGCTAGGTTAAGTTGCAAGTTATCTAGTTAGTCTATATATAGGCTAGAACACTCAGTTTGTTGAATGTGGTAAGATTGTGTTATTCACTTGTAATCTTTTTGTAATATTGAGAAAGTGAATAGTATAACAATTTTGTCATAATCCTTCTTGTTCTTTCTTCTTTATCTTTTCTTCTTTCCCTCTTTGTTATAACTGATTTTATTGTTCACTCAAAAACTCTGTTTTTCAATCTTAATTTATTAAAAGATATCGTTTATGATCACAACAACATAAATTTCAATTAATATCATTTCAACTAACATATGAATCTTAGATTTCTCATTCATACATAACTCATACAATTTCATCATACTCGCCAAATTCTCATGCAACTTGCTAATTTTGTGCCTAGTCTAACTAGCTAAGATATTATCTTATGAAAAAACAAACCTCAATGATGAATAAATGTTTTATTCTTCTATATGCAATTCCAACTCCAAGCTTATCATTTCATCCTATGATCCTTTCTCTTTATCAATTTTTGAGACAAGTGACTCTTACCAATCATAGCTTGCATGAACTTAAGGTGAACTTGAATATTTTTCTTCCTTGTCTATCTAAAACAACTCTGTGGATCCTTCCCCACGCAAGAGAAAATCAAATTTCTCTTCATAAAGGATTTATATAGCATCATGTAAAAAGACTAACCTACCCCTCATTAAATTGGTTAATTTTCCAATATGTCTTCTGCTCTAATTATGGTTTGTAATGAATTAAATTTTTTCTTAAATCTTAATTTATGGTTAACATAACTTAAAATGTCATGCAATCCTTCTAAAATGAACAATATACCATTTTACGATAAAATATTTATTTTACTCTTATCCTTCTAATTCCATCAATTTATAAAATAGTTGTGTCTTAATTAATGATTTAAGTAAGAATATTACAAACTCCTAGATCCAGAATAGAATTGTTGTAAAGAAATTTAGGGTTTTCTATTAAGAGACCCCAAATTTGTCGTTCTTATTGAATAACCCATAGAGAAAACATCACTAATTTCTAAAAGGTGTTCCATCATTAGTATATTGGTCTTGAAATTATTGAAGGAATTGTTCAGTTCTTTCAAGAAACATATGATGCTTTCAGTATCGCATTGTATCTTGATTGATGGAATTACAATGAATAAATCACACATGTGTTAAAATAGCAATGCTCTTCGAATAAATGCAATTACAATGAATAAATCACACATGTATTAAAATATTTCTAGTTTGACAAATATCCAAAAGAAATTAGCATATCATATCATGAAATTAATGAACATATTATATAATAATGTATATATAAATAATCATGCACACAGACCCAAGAGTTTTTTCGTGAATTCTAATGAAATTAACCAACAAAGGTAGGTTAAATGTATGAAAAAAAACTTAAAAAATCTTCGCAACATCTTTGACTAGACCACGGTTTGCTATTGCAAACTTTTTAAACTCCTCGTACGAAATAAATCCATCCCCATCAGTATCAATCTCCTCCATCATTCTTTTCACTTCATCTTCGGTGACCGATCCAAGTGCTTTCAGCGCTTCTCCGAGCTCTGAGGAAGAGATTTGACCATCGCCGTTAGCATCAAAGCCCTTGAAAATACGCTCCCTATCTGCTACATCTTGTGGATCTTCAGCCATTGTAATAACCTATGTGTATATGAGAAATGGATAATTAGTACTTTGAGTTTTTGGAGTTGCCCTGGAAATTGGAGATTGGACAAAGATTAGGGTTAATGATTTGGTTCTTAAAAGAGGTTAAAAGTTGGTTTCAATGTGAGGTCTTCCTTTAGCATAGGGAGTTATCTTATTTGGGAAGAATAAGATTCACTAAAATAGCATAGTTTGAATCTAATTTACTATATTATTTATGGTTGAAAATGTTTTCTGTTTTAGGAAATGGAAAGAAGGTCACCCTTTAACATAGGGAGTTATGTCTTGTTGTTTTAATTGTTATTATTAATATTTGTTGAAAATATTAATGAAGATTGAATCTAAAGGAAGATGTCAAACACATGCATAATGTGTAGAATTTAAATTTAAATTTAAATTTATTGTTCGACCTGATTTGAATATGATTACAATTTACATCGAAGATATTTATGGAAAGCCAAAAAGTAAATATATGCTAAAAATGAAATTTATATAGAAAAATGATTATAGTTTTATAAACCATAAAATAGATAAGTATTTTGTTTCCCACTTATAAATTTCATCGAACACTGCCTATTTTTTAAAATTCATAAAAAATAAATCTTTTCTCTGTTAACTAGTTATCAAAAGTTGAATTGTTAGCTTAAAATTATATATGTCTACCTGTTATAAAATAGAAAATACAGAAAATGTATAAAAATATATATATAAATATGTAAGAAATTAATTTTTAGAGAAATTATATATATATATATATATATATATATATATATATATATATATATATATATATATATATATATATATATATATATATATATATATATATATATATAAGTAAGTCGGGATCTACTTACTCCAAGAATAAGTTTTTATAATTTACTCCACATGCATTTAAATTAGATTTAATTGAATAGTTATAAAGAAAAATAATAATTTAACTATTAGATTAGATTCAATTTAAAGGTTGTGATGTGGAGTAAGTTAAAAAAACTTACTCTTAGAGTAAGTGAATTCTTTATATATATATATATATATATATATATATATATATATATATATATATATATATATATATATATATATATATATATATATATATATATATATATATATATATATATATATATATATATATATATATATATATATATATATATATATATATATATATATATATATATATATATATATATATATATACATATATATATATATATATATATATATATATATATATATATATATATATATATATATATATATATATATATATATATATATATATATATAAGTTATTAAAGATAAAATCAAAATATATAAGTTATGATTGATGAATTTTATGAATATGACACTTGTTGTTGATTGAATGAACATTAAATTTAAACTCTATTTTGTCTTCTGATTTGAAGAAGTTAAATTCATAAAATTCATTTCATTCATATGATAGTTTTGTTTTGTGCGCATCTTTAATCTTGAGTAAAGTAGGTGTGTTTTTTCTCACTATCACTATAAAACAAAAGAAAGTGATAATCATATTCTCGTAAGATTGTTGCACAATCTACCTGCAATTTATATGAAAATAAATAGAGAAAATTACATATAAGTTAAAAACGGCTTTGGATTAGCATGGTTAATGAAACTTAACTAATTTCGGTAATGAAATATTATCAGGGGTAAGTGTAAGTTCAAATGAAAATATGTTGGGGTGACAAAGGCTTTAGTGACTTAGAAACTTTGCTACGCGCATGACCTACCAGGTGAGCTCTCACACTTCTTCTCTTTCACAACTTTGAACCTTCAAATTTCTTTCTACATTATCTTTGACTTTAGCACTTTACTAGAACCTTGAATATTCACCCTGATGAGGCTTGATATAGCTTCAAGATGATCGGCATCATCAGGGACAACTGGAAAGATATCTATGGAAACAAAGCATTATGATTAACCAAATGATCAAGCACTAGGATTCAACCAAACATCAGTGTCATCATCAAAACCACCATGATCAATCAATGGATCAAAACATCAGTCACAGTATCTACAAGCGCATAGATCCATATTCTCTTCCTTTTTTATAATGACAACACATATCTTATAAAGGTTGAGAAAATAAAAAATGGAGGTGAATGATTGGAGTGTTTAAACTCTCTCTGACGAATATAGAAAGTATACCCTACTTCGCATAAGAGTATACTTATCCCCTTTGGAACTATAAAAAATCCAGAAAATAAACAAAACTAAAGCACATAGATCATGTGTACCACATAGATAAAAGGAAGAAGAAGAAGGAGAAAAGGCATTTAACATATGTTATTCCATGCATATTTGATTTAATATTCCTGATTTAGTTCTTATAAAATAGCTACATACCTTTCTCAAGTAGAAAAGAGTCAACATCTTTCTCAATAATGTCATGGGGTAGGAGATTTATATCTCAACTAAGGATGAATCATGTTTAATCTTTCTTTGAGAAAATGTTTTAAATTGAAAAGTCAAGTGGCAAAAAGTTTTGAATGAGATTTGTGTTTTTTAGTCTTATGAAAAGATTTGAATATGCTTAAGAGGTCTTGAAGCATTTATAAAAGAAAAGAAATTTTGAAAAGTCAATGACCTAGGGTGTGTTTGGTTCGGGGTAGATGGAGGAGAAGGGAGGGGAGGGGAGGGGAAATTTTTAATTAAATATGTTTGGTTCAAATCTTTTGAAGGGATGGGAGGGGAGGGGAGGGGAGCAAAATCCCTACAAAACACACTTTTTGGTTTCCTCCGAATTGGGGGGATTTGGAGGGGATGAGAGGGAATATGAGTTTTGATATTTAAAAATTATTATATTTACTAAAATATCCTCGGTTTAATTTCAGTATTTCAAAATTATTCGTTTTTTTTCATGTTACTGATTTTTCTCGATTGTTTCCATCAACTTATTATAATTGTTCTTCACCTTCAAATTATTTTATAATTTCTATACTTAATATAAATCATAATCATTGCCTTTTTTTTACAAAAAAAAATTATGTTTAGTTATATTCGTTTTTTTCTTTTAATTTTGTTATGTATTCTATCATATTTTCTTTTATATCAAATTGTAAACCATTCATTTTATTTATTTTTGTTTATTCATTTTATTAAATATTTTGAACCATTAATATTTAATTATAAGTTATTTTATATATTTTTTTGTTATATGATTCATCACAATTTAAACGATGTTATTGTCATATAGTTTAGTTTATGTTGGAAAGTTATAAGTCGAATCAATTGTACTCAATTTTTTAACTTTATGTGACAAATAAATACTTTTTTAATCACTAAATATTAGAAATTTTATTACCAACAAAACTACGCATGAATTTTTCACATTTTAATATCATATGACTTATATAAGATCATAAGGATAAAAATGTAAATTATTAATAAAACCACTCCCCTCCCCTTTTGAACCAAACACATTTTTAATTAAAATTCCTCTCTTTCCCTCCCTTCCTCTCTTTTGAACCAAACACTTATCTGATTAAAAAAATCATTCACCTCCCCTCCCCTCCCCTTCCCTTCATTAAAATCCCTTCCCTCCCCTCCCCCTCATTTGAACCAAACAGACCCCTAATGTCAATGTTTTTTATTGAAAGAGGTTCAAGTTAGAAAATAGGAGATCAAATGGTAAACATGAAACAAATGATGGATGAAGGATGCAAAGAAATACCCTATGGATATAAACATGACAACAAAGTCAACTATAGTCCATTCCCTTGGATTTAACACAAGCAACATAAAGATTCAAGGGTCACAAGCGTATATCAAGCAAAGTATGCATCATAAAGATAATATTCAAGGGTCATAAGCGTATATCAAGCAAAGTATGCATCATAAAGACACTCAGTCCTAAAACATGACCAAAAATCAACCAAACATCACACATGAATCAAGCAAGCATAAATCTCTCAAGAATGAAACTTAACAAGACAACAACCTCAATCACGGCATGATATCAACATGACATTTAACAACAAGGTATGTTAAGAGATGATCAAGCGTGGACTTTAACATGAAATAAACAATGGAAAATTATTTAAACAAAATCAAAAGTCATGTGAACATAAAATAAATAATACAAAGTAACCTTAAACAAAAACAAAATTTTTTTTGGGGTTTTTAAATATGAAAATAAAAATAATAAAAAATAAATAATCAAACAACATAAATAAATATTTTTTTATTTTTTAAATATTGAGACTTAAATAAATAAATTAAATGAATGAGAAAAAAATAAAACAAGAGAATTAAAAAGAAGAAAGAGAGAAAAAGAAAAAAAGGAAGAGAATAGAAAGGAAAATAAGGAAAAGTGGTAAAAAGGAATCTAAAGATGAACAGATTACCTAACGGAGTGAGTATGTTGCCTCTTCAAAATTACTTTTAAAAAAATGAAATAATAATGCAGTGAACATTCTTGAGTCTCCAGGAATGTCACGGTATGCGATAAATTCTATATGGTTTGTGAAAAGTGTTTATGAAGAGAAATTGGAAGGAAAGTGAATTGAGTGGGAGATTTGAAAAAAATGCTTCAATGGAGTTTTGAGTTTTTTTGCTCAATATGATTTCTATGCAAGATATTGGATGTTTCTCTTGATATTTTTCTCTCTTTTCTCTCCTTTCTTTCTCTTTCTTTTTTCTTCTTTTTTTCCTCTTTTTTTCTTAATTTTTCCTTGAATGAATGATGTGATTTTAAGACAAATATTCTTAGAAGGTATATCCTTGATTCTAAGAATATGATTTTAGTGAGAATATAGTATTTTGAAGAATTTCATGACTATTTCTCTTGAATTTTCCTTTACTGATTGTGTTAAAATGAAGAAAGTGTGAATGGCTATTTAGAGGTCTTGATCCACTAGTTTCTTGAGTACCAAGGTTCACTACAACATTTTTACTCTATAGCAACGCCTAATTTTTAGGAAGTAAAAAAATTGTTCTCGTAGGGAGTAATAGGCAACTAA